CAATAAAGATGTGTTTTATTGACTATACAAAGGAGGCTTCGCCATGCTTTATTGACTGTGTGGCTTATAACAAACTATGGCAGCATGGGAATTTCAGAACATTTCGTCGTGTTCTTGTGGAACTTGGACACGAATCAAGAGGCAGGTGAGCAAACAGAACAAGGACATACTGCCTGCTTGCCTGCTTTAAAATTAAGAAGAGTGTGCGAGAGGGTTGGATCCTCTCATCATACTTATTAAATGCGCATGCTGGGCATATCATCAGAGAAGCTGGACTATATGAAAAATAATGTGGCATCAGGATTGGAAGAAGACTTATTAAAAACCTTCGATATGCAGATGACGTGACCTTGCTGGCCGAACATGAGGAGGACTTGAAGCATTTGCTGAAGAAGATCAAGGGTTGCAGCCTTCAGGATGGATTAGAACACAATGTAAAGAAAAATCCCCCAAACTGGACCAATAGGTAACGTCATGATAAATGGAGAAAAAGTTGAAGTTGTCAAGGATTTCATCTTGCTTGGATCCATAATCAGTGCTCATGGGAGCAGCAGTCAAGAGCTCAAATGACGCATTGCATTGAGTAAATCTGCTGAACAAGATCTGTTTAAAGTCTTGAAAAGCAAGAATGTTACGTTGAGGACTAAGGTGTACCTGGCCCAAGCCATAGTATTTTCAATTACCTCAGAAGCACAAGTCAGTTCTGGCTCACATCGACCCTCTGAGACAGAGAACTACAGCAGGCCTTCTTAAAATGTAAGAGCTTCCTGCTCTCATTTCTAGACCCCGTCAAGGGTGTGATGCAATGGTGGCATGGCTCGTCTAGCCATACTTTTTGTAATTTCTACCAAATAACCTTTTCCTGCTGGGTCTGGGTAATACGCGGTGAAAGAAGGCATTGATAGATGATATGATTCAGTATGAGTCAGAACTCTAACATGGCCATTGGTCAATGTTACTACCCTGCTGTATGAAATGAGTCATCTCAGAAGCAGAAAGGGGTAGCTATCGCTACCATCAAAGAACAAGTGCTGGGAGCAGAGTGACACCTTTGGATCTTGAGATCCCTACACATTGTATCTCCTGATCCAGGGACAGAAACTTGCAATGCCAGAGAAGTGGCAGCGAGTAGCTGTAGCAGAACCAAGAGCCCAGAGCATGAGACGGAGGGGTGGGGAAAACCACCAAATGAGTCAAGGTGAATGTCTTCAGGCCGGAGGCTTGCTTGCAGAGTGGAGTGCCTCCAGTCCCTTAATTGAGGAAGGTGGATTTGCTAACCTAAGAAGCTACAGCTGAGGCCCTTTGGGCTACAGTTTATGGTTGGGGGAAGAGTAGAGTGCCCTTTGGGCATTTATTGGCAGTGCTAAAAGAGTGTTGTACCAAGTCCAAGTAGAAGACATCAGGGTGGAGGGCATGGCAGAGAAGAGGCTGCCTGACCAAAGAACTTTGCCCTGAACATTTCTTTTTTTAAAAACATTTTATTAGGGGCTCATACAACTGTTATCGCAATCCATACACACATCAATTGTGTAAAGCACATTTGTACATCATTCTCAAAACATTTTCTCTCCACTTAAACACCCCCCGCATTAGGTCCTCATTTTCCCCTCCCTCCCGCCTCCCCCCTCCCTCATGAGCCCTTGATAGTTTATAAATCGGTATTTTGTCATATCTTGCCCTGTCCGACGTCTCCCTTCACCCACTTTTCGGTTGTCTGTCCCCCAGGGAGGAGGTCACATATAGTTCCTTGTAATCAGTTCCCTCTTTCCTACCCATTCTCCCTTTACCCTCCCTGTTTCGCCCCTCACACCACTGGTCCTGCAGGGCTCATCCGCCCTGGATTCCCTGTATTTTCAATTCCTATCTGTACCAGTGTACATCCTCTGGTCTAGCCAGACTTGCAAGGTCGAATTCGAGTCATGGTAGTGGGAGCGGGGAGGAAACATTTAGGAATTAGAGGAAAGTTGTATTTCTCATTGTTGTTACATAGCACCCTGATTGGCTCATCTCCTTCCCAGACCCCTCTGCAAGGGGATCTCCAGTAGCCTACTCATGGGCTTTGGATCTCCACTCCGCACTCCCCCCATCATTCACTATGGTAAGATTTTTTGTTCTGATGATGCCTTATACCTGATCCCAGCCCTGAACATTTCTAATCTTGAATTGTAGTGTGTCAACTTCCTTCATAAACCCCTAGTCATGAATATGGTCTGTGAGTTTTGTGTGGTCAATGCAATGAATTATCAAAAGCAGCAGAGCATTGAAGAGCGCTGGGAGGGATGCTTAATGGCAAAATAGGCAGAGTTGAAGGGTGGAGGCATATTAGACCCTGTCTCATACATATCAGCTTTAAGCTGATACTGATGGTGAGTTCTCCTTTCCCTTTCCCCTTGCAAAGTCAGAGGAGGCCAGATGTGGCCTCTACCCCATTTTTTGCGAAGGTCTACTCTTTTTAGAATAGATAATCTCAAAAATATCCTTAATTGTACACATGGATGAGCTAAGAACATAATTTGTCTTGAAGTTGCCAAAAATGGTTGGAGGCTTAATCCTGAAAGGATGCTAAAATCACTGTTTTTAACAGCTATAACATTTACCGAGTGTTTTCATACTGGGCAAGTCATTATGCTAGTCAGCTTAATATAGATCATCTTTTTCACTCCTGCAATAATTCTTTGAGAGAAATAATCCACAGGTAGGTTAAGCAACATATTCAAAGGCCCACAGCTAATAAAAGATCAAGTGGTATTTAAGTCCAAGAGGCCTAAATCCAGAACTAGACTGACTGTTGGGTTTCCATCAGGTAAATGGATGGCAGTCTCTTCTGTTTCTGAACCAGTGGCAGTGACATAAATTGTACCTAATCCTTTTGTTGGCAGAATGTAGAAAAGTTCAGATACGCCTCCTTGGCCAATCTATTTATAACTTTTGTATCATTTCTGAACCATTTGGCAATGTGACAAACTCATCCAAGAAGAGTGCAATAAATGTGTACTGGATGAGTGACACTAGTTCTGAGATTGTTTTAAATAAATGACCATTTTATACTCACTTAAAAAGGAAAAATAGATGGTCTCAAAATTGCTCATCAAGTGCTCACATGGGATGCTGCCCCCTCCCTTTTCACGATTCGGGAAGGAGGAGGAGAATCTCGGCCAGTGCTGGAGGTGAAGAGGCAGGTCACTCTATGAGGAAAGCGAAGAAAAAGCCCGTGTAAGCTCTTTGGATGGACACTTTCAACCTAACGTTTCCTGAAGAAAAGTTAGAAAAATCGGCCGTGAAGATGGTCATTGGTGCCGGGGCATCAGAGAGCGCCCCATATACATCAAAGCACACCCTGCCCGGGACAGTGCCGTCCTCCCAATGCTTAGCCTGGGTGAGCTCATCGTCGGGTAGCCTCTGTGGCGACCCTTCTGGTAATTGGTCAGGGAAGCCATCAAAGTTTGCAGACTCCCAAAGGGACGCTTCAAAACTCTGTTATCAGAGCTCTACACTCCCCTTGAAACCACTCATTTCTTAGAGAAAGAAACGTTTGAATGCATTTGGGTCACCTGGACCCAAAATGACTTCCCTGGAGCTTGGTGGTACATGGCTAACGTCCTCCGCCGCAAACCATAAGGTCCAAGGTAGAAAAATGCCAGAGATTTCCAGAAAGGTTCACAGCCCTGGAAACTATGCAGCAATTCTCCTCCGTACCATAGGGTCACGATGAGTGGGAATCGATTGGACTGCAGTGGGTTTTGTTCGGTTTAATTTGGTGACTTTCTGAGATAGTGTTATGTTATGTTGTTAAGTACCACTCAAGAGGTTCTGACTCACAGTGGCCCGATGTACAACAGAATGAAAGACTGCCCGGGCCTAGCCATCCTCAAACTGGTCCCTATGCCTGATCTCCTAGTTGCAGCCACTGTGTCCATTCAACCCTTTGCGGGCTTTCTTATTTTCCTGACCGTCTACTTTACCAAGAATGATGTCCTTCTCCGGGGACTGGTCTCTCCTGACAACATGTCCAAAGTATATATACTGTACAAGAGGATGTCAAACCATCCTTGTCTCTAAGGAGCGCCCTGGCTATACGTCTTCCAAGACAGACCTGTTGGTTCAAGTAGTACTGACAATTGTATTGGTCAAAGAACGGCACTAGCACAGCAAGAGCGGAGGAGGTAAAATGAGTTGCCCACATTAGCAGAGGTTGCAGTGGTTACGTGTTGGACTATGATGTACAAGGTCGACGGTTCGAAACCACTAGCCGCTCCTCGGCCTTTCTACTTGCAAAACGGTTAGTCTCGGAAGCTCACAATGGGGCAGTTCTATCCTGTCCTAAAGGTTCGCTATGAGCAGACATGAAACCGATGGCCCATGGCCTTACGACGGTCACCCATCACGCAAGCCAAGGAACATGCAGCCTTGGGCTCTGTGCAGTTTAAAGGGCCTTGTGCAATGCACCCCTGTCGCCACCAGAGGGTACCCAAGGATTAGGATCACCAGGGAACCCCCAAGCACACCTTCTTCCGCCTCCCACCCCCTAAATCCCCTGAGCAAAAATTCTTAATCCAAGGCCAACCGGGGCGCTTTCTTTCGACCACGCCCAATTGCGAGGTCAAGGGCCTTACTTGCTTTGAATTGTTTCAAACTGCCGCCTCGCGCCCGGACTCCCCCGGTCCGCCCCTC